GGCAGTTCTTGAATTACAAATAGATTTCCTATAATAAGAGCATTTGAAATATCAAATGTAGCCTGTGGTAAATATTCTTTATTGAAGATTTCTTCTAAATATAATAATTGTAGAACAGACAGATATAAAAGACAAACATTAGAGAGTCTTGTTAACGCACATTTCTGTCTAAAATTTTCACATATTCATAAAGAAAGGCCGTGAGAGCTTTGTACAAATTCTTTTAGCTCTAAATTAAAGTTTGCATACATGAACATACTGTGAGTTCAAAGCGGACCGCATTTGAGTACATCATCTGATAGATGGGTTCACAAATGGACATTAAATAACACATCCTGTATACAATACGAACCCGGTATCTCATTAATGAATTAAAACAAGTATCTTTCTGCTAATACTAATTGTGATCTTATTACAGAATTCTATAATAAAATCGCTATTCCATCCACAAGTAACGCCCAGTGCTTCATATATTTTCGTGGTTAAATTAATTTCAATATTGGCAGACCATAAAACAATAACCAAATCGCCCACTCACGAGCTCTGCAATCATTCCTTTCAGACATCTTTCAGAGTGCTCAAGATATTTCAATCGTAGGTTTCAAAAATGATAAACTGTTATCATTAAGGCTAATATGACGACTCAAGTAGTAAGGTTGAGCATAATTTCTGTATCAAACCATAATCGAGCAAATTGTTTGCAAACACCAAGAGTTACACAATGCATCCAATCCAAAACCAAATTATCCACAATATTTAATTCCGGAATGTTACAAAATTTTGAATAACCATTTATTCCTTTTTCACCACTAATAACATTCTGTAATCTTTGGTTCTGATGACGTAGACCTCTACCAAATGCATTTCCTTTACTTACTTGGATACCCTTGTGTAAACAATGACGACATTTATATTCATCATTATATTAGGTGGAATTTTGAAGTAATGGTCGTCTAATAGAATCTGATAATCCCATTAAAATACGACACTTTTTATTACTTATTTCTCCATTTCGAGAATATTAAAATCCATTATCATAGAGAACTCTACTTTCTTCAACGAATGGCTTCACAAATTCATTCATATCACTCGGTTTGCCCTTCCCAAACCACAAAGCAATTATCATAATATGATTCACACGTTGACGAGGAGATGATTTATTGATTGTACACAATATTGGGGATATAGAAAATTTTGAGTGCTCAAATACTAATGCTCCATCAATAGTAAAATTAACACTTATCATATCTTCTTTAAAGTTGTCCTTATAAAGTGGAGGAATGTTTGAATAGAGTTCCAATAATTCTAGTAACTGTTCACCCAAGCTCAAGTATAAAAATATATTTCCAGACTCTTTATTAATTTTAACATTCATAATCGTACCACATGATTGACAGCTCAATGATTCGTCATCTGACTTCTGTTTACCTGCACGCTTTATGCATATAGTATAGAAGTGATAAATTGTCATAAGCGTAGAAAATTTATCTGAAACTTTTTTGAAATAATACTGCGAAGACTTGTACTGACAAGAAAATCTCGCGAGGTGGTCACCATCGATTTAGCTGAGGTTTCGATATAATAATCTATGGCGAAAATGATGAACCACGTATTTTTTTCGGCGAACAAACGCTATGAAGGAGTAAAAATTACCCCCAAAGTTGACACCCTATAAAGGTGATTTATTCTCTATTGCTGCCAAACGCAGGCGTAGCAGGTTATCCTTATTCGAGATTCCGAATTCGTCTGGGCCTAAAACTCGAGTGTCTGCGCGAAGTTTGAAAGTGGGAACAGCACACACTTTATTAATACCCATAACGATACTGCTATGCTGGTAGCGATCTACTCATCATGAAAGCAAGGACCAACATACCTAAAATACTCTTCATGCCTTGTCTAGGAAACCTCTAGAACGGCAACCTGATCAACAATCTCTAACAGTTCCTAGATGACCATCATCTACCTCTATATTACATACACTGAAATGTGACACTGTAAGATATTTCTTAATGTACTTATTTTACATACCTGTGACTTCACTTAGCTGTCGTATTATATTGTCGTTTATACTCTGTATCTATAACTATTTTACTGTCTGATGTAAATTCTTCTTCAATTGTCTAAATAATAAATTCTACTATCTATCTATCTATCGATCGATCTGTCATGATACGCTTGACAGCAGACGCTCTTACACAAAAAATTTCTTCGTTTACCTTACGCTGCAAATCTATATTTTTTATTTACTCAATAATTATGTAATTTATGGGCAAATCATGCAAAAATTGGCTATAATTGGCGATAATTCATATAAAATCTTTCATTTGCAGCATTAATGATAATTTTCTATCTATTTATAAAGAAGATATTCAATCCTGAAGATTGAGAGGCGCATCTTTTCTAAAAAATTTTCCATCATGGACGAAAATTAAACATTTCACGTTTTCTCAAATTGGCAGTACCAAATTGTATATTAAATGTACAATATGTATTAATGTACATAATCAATTTTCAGGTATTCAATGAGCTCTACTGCAAACTCTTACACATTTCAGAAAACTTCATAATACTAATCATATACTCTTTCAGCTGTCGACAATATAATAATGCTTCCCTTTACACCATAAACAACTGGGGCCGCCGACTCAAGCGGAGGAAACTGGTACTACGGGTGACCGAAATCCAAGCTAAATCCTATTCTCGAGTGCCTTAGAAGGTGAGGTACACAAATAAATGTCTTTTTCAGGACAAAGAAATGTGGATTTTTCGCTTAATGTATGAAGCTCTAATCGTTAAGAAGCTTAATTGCTGAGGGTTCAATTCCGCGTGTAATTTTGTTGTAGAAAAGATTCTAGGGATAGGGTCAATTTCTAATAAACTATACGTTGGATAAAATTTGCCCTGTGTTTTTTTTGCGACATCCTTCAACGTAGATTAGTCTTTTGCATGCATTTTCAGTGGAGACGAGCGGAGAAAGAAGTCAGGGAGTACCCGAGGTATATAAATAACGCATGACCTCTGACCTCTCTTGGAAATACTGTATTCTGAAGACTCCATAAACAAGTTCTGTAGTAACTAAGGCGTGGATAAACCTCTCGCGGATACTTTCCGTGACTCTTGTTGCCGAATTAATCATTATTGTCGATATTCTTTTTCGTTATTTTTCTTTTCTACTGTCATATTACATCCGCCAGAAACTACGGGCAGTCCAAACGAGACAGACACGGTAAGTTACAAATAAAATCCGTAGTTATTAGTAAGAAACCGTTTTGCATTCGTGTACACTGGTTAAATAAATCACTCCCGAAGCTTTATAGAAAAATAAAAATAAACATAATCAACGTCATCAAATCCAAAACGGACCAATAATATTATAATAATTCATTTTATTTTCTGTTTCGGCACGGTCGTTCAACAGCCATTTTGTCAGAACGTTTCAATGTAAACCATCTTAATAATATCATTATAGATTAGAAAAATCTATTGAAAATTTGAAAAATGTATTTGCGAAGTTCAATAAAACTAGCAGATTCCTACGACGTTGTCCACGTTATGTGTATATTCACGTTAAAAGGACTCAAATATCTTGCATAGATTCCGTTTTCAATTGTTTATAACAAATTTAATTGTTATAAACGAAAAGCTTATATGTTCAATTTATGCAACACCGTTGGTATGATTTTTTCAGCAAAAGAAACAATTAGGCGTAACAAGAACTTTCATGTATTGCATAAATTTTGTTGTCCATTGTTAATAACAAATTTAACTATTACAAACCAACTACTTCGACAAATAGTAAGCTATAACCTTCCTGACACCGCTCTCTACAGGCCGTTTTGGAGAGTAGTGCGAACAGATAGACAGACAGATTTCAGTAATTTATGTAGTAGTATAGATAGATAAAAAAAAGTTGTATTTAAAGACGAATAATTCATATTTCAAATAGAAAATGTTCAAAATACAATGGCAAATACTCCAAGAGTATTTGAATAGAGTATTTTTGGAAACTTTTACTCAAATATTTCATAAGCAAGAAATCTATTACATACATTTTTGTTGATGAATTTATAAATTGTGTAAGTCATTTAGATTTACCTACAAAAAATTATGCTATAATAATTAAAATTAATAAGCTAATCGACAGTCTGGATCATTACAGACATCGACTGAACTGAATAAAGAGCTTTGTGCAACACCGGCATAATAAACTCATTATGCTCAGTATCACCTTGAACCCAATGACATCAGCACGAGTCATGCAAATATTCACTTGCCTGCGGCTCGTGCGAATGCACTACTGATACAACCGCCCCGAGACAATGATAGAGTACTTAGATCCCTTGATTCACAATGTACTATTATTGTTATGAATACCAACTGACAAGGAAGCCTCGCGAGGTAGTCACCGTCGATTAAGCTGAGACTTCTATATAATAATCTACGTCAAGATTGATAAACTACGTATTTTTTTTTTCGTCGAAAAACGTTTTGAAGGGTTAAAAATTACCTCCAGAGTTGACACCCGACAAAGGTGATTTTTAATTTTTTCCAAACGACCTTATATAATAAAACCAACATGAAAAATACCTTTATTTACATATTTATAACACTTAAAACTATAGCTTTTTTTCATAAAAAATAACAAAAAATCTGTAGCTCAGTAACTAAAAATTATTTCTCAATAGATCTAATTCCGATCGATGGAGTATAAAAGATTACGAGATACGTCTCTTTGCATTTATTTTAAACACATTAATGACTATAAACGAAATCGCAATTTAAGAATTTTCAATTGGTATTGATTTATTATTTATAGTCACAATAATCACCGAATAAAATGTGTAATTTATTCATTTTTCGAATTGTTATGCTTAAAAAACTAGGTGACCGTAAAAGTGTAGAATTACCTCAAAACAACGTGAATGATATAATTTATTCTTTTGACCTTTATAACTAAATTCGAATCACTATTAGAAGTACAATCTTAAATGGATATTTACTTGATTTCTGGAAGTTTGACGTTGAGCAAATTGTTTAGTGGCACTCCGCGAAGACAATCAGCAACATCCATTCTCGGTGTTATAGTATGACACCCAAGTTGCTCGCCTACCGTTTGAATAAGATTGTTTGGATCATTCACCGATGACCATGGACTCAATGCGGATCCACTTAACAAAATGACTCTATGTAGTAGGCCTAGTTGTAACATATAATTTTATAATGCAATGAAAAACAAATTTTGATTGACTAAGTTTGTTTTTTTTTGTTCTACTGCTATGTAGCATTCATGATAAAAGTATTTCAATTACTATTGATTACATTTTTATCTCACATATGATGACTGATTTTTGTTTTAGTGTAATGCAGATCAATATCTATTATCTCATAAATAATTTAAAAATTAAGTTTGAAATCGCGTATTATTATTTAGACGTAGACTAAAATAAATATGAATTGAGAATTGTTCAATTTTTAGTTTCGAAAGGTATAGGTTGATATGAATTAAACACAAATCGAACTATTCACATAACATTTTAAAAGATAGAGCACTTTTCTTGAATTACCTACAGCTGCATAAAACATTCTTAATTGTACTGGTATAAACGTCATTCTCTTGAAATTCACTCAAATAGGTCTTCTCAAAGAATATCAATCAGTTTTAGAGAGGATTACCGAGAAACTATATACCTTTAGAGTATGGAGTAAGGAGGAGAAAATTTACAAGTGCTGCTCCGGTATCATGACCCATTACTGTTACACGGCTGGGATCTCCTCCAAATGCGGCAATGTTTTCTTTCACCCAACCAAGACTCATAGTAATGTCTTTCAGTGCCAGATTTCCATCCAAGTGGCCATTCTCGTCAGGCAATGTACTTGTTCTTAAAAAACCTATAAACCATAAAATTAAAGTTATTTAGCACACTCCTATAAGTAATTGTTTTCAATTATAGCGAAACATCAATCGATGACTTTTTTAGGTAGATTTCGTCGAATTTGTTCAAAGTTACAGGCTGTATAAGTGCTCACTTATTATGTCTGATAAGCTGAGCTTAAGAGCCTGATAAAAAACTCAGTAATATAATTTTAAAATGAAACTTTAAACAAAATAAATAAAGTGCTCTTCAGTGGTCTCAGTGCAACACGAGAGTTCACACGACTAACTTTACAGTGAAACAATGATAAAGTTGAACTAGTTTACCATTTTTTCTAGTTCTTTTATAGTGTATAAAAATGACTGGACCGACTTAGCTGAAATAATAATCAATTCTAAGTTGCGTGCATTGAATAAGATTAGTCTCATGTTAATATCTTTTTTTGTTCGAAAAGTAATCGAGACGAAAAAAATTCCAAACGCACATACGACTGTCCGAACATAGGCACATACGTGCATACACACGCATATATGTCCACAGAAAAACTGCCGTATTCGATTCTGGAGACCTTGCAACGTGTAGATATGTCAGAACTAAAGATTCGCAAAAATGGACACACTAATATTACTTACCACTGGAAAGTTGAAAAGTTTCAGGAACTCTTTCCACCGTGTCTATAATCGGTCTTTTAAATCTCTACAAAACAGTCATTAAAATTATTAACCCTTTTATTTAACCTTTAGTATGTAAAAAATTATATGCACCTCGAAGATTAAATCAGCCCTTATCATTGACTCGAACTTTTGAAGTGCATACTTAATATACTATCACATGATGAGTGACTATCCGAAAAAAATATATACATCCACATACCTGTGAAAATTAGCGCCAATCTCTTATTTGAATGGTCTAATGATACATGGTTTCAGAATAATGTTGTTCACAATACGATTTTTGGGAAGTCAAAGCCCCGTTTAAAATGCCTTCATTCCACATCCACTAATGGATGAATTGTCGAATCATTAACTCCTATACTAAGACTTTATAAAGTTTTTTTTTTTAATTTAATTTTTTTTTTTTAAATTATTCAACAATTAATTATTTCAACATCATTTTATCAAAAATGCTTAGAAAAATCACGGACAATTTTTTTTTTCTATTCTTCTAGCGATTTCATTTTGTAATAATCAATTAACTTTTATTAATGTATCTATTGGATTAATTAGATGTAACAACTAAATATGAATCTAATATAACATATCATTAATAAGCAATTTTTCAATTTTCTGTGATTTATAAAGGGAAAATTTAGAGTGGAAAAGAGTGTACACTAAGAAGCTTTATGTTAACCTTAGATAGGTCATCATGCATCACTTAATGAATCTGGTCAACCAATGAAGGATTTACCACAATAGATTTTGATTGCAGAGTTGCCAAATCTTAAAATAATCTGTCTGTAATAATATAGATGTGTTGTAAGTAAGCATAAGAATTTCATTTGAAAAAAAGCATTCACTCGTGGTTAATTCTTGTAATGGTCCTCATTGAGAAGATACTCGACATTTGCGGATCACTTCACATTTATCTCTTGTTAAGAATAGAGGCTCGGTTATGTACGAAAGATAGAGAGTGGTTCTTTCTCAGGTAAGAGGACAATCGAGTTTTACTTACCAAAATAATCAGAAATTGATTTTACAAATGACCTTGAACAATTGATGTAATTGTACCAGCTAGCTTCGAAAGCACAATTGTTATTTAGCGAACGAGGAAATGAGAGCTTGAGTCTCGCATGGTGTGTTTCATCACTTGTGATCGCATGACTCCGATAATTAAAAAAATGAGTATTAATTATTAAATTGACGAAACAATTTTTATTGCCATTGCAACATGCTCTAAGACTTAAGAGAAGTCCAAGTCATGCATACAGCACTTTGGAAAGCCGTTCGCTGGCTAAGTATTCCCTCGATCCTGAGATATGTCGGGATTCAGTATTTATGAATATATTTACAATAATACGGCTTTAAAGAGTCACCGCATACATAATAATAATTTAACGATACAATAGATATTTTCTAAAACTTCACGAACGTTCGCTTTTGTATAATCAATTGCAAGACTCACAAAACACATTGATGTCTTTTCGGCACAACAAGGAATGCCGAGTGATGTCTTCTTAATTAGACAGACAACCGCCGAGTCAAGCTACTGGTTATCGATCGTTTATCCATTGCTTCTTAATTGAGAGCAGGGCAAAGAGTTTTATTACACCCTTATCTATAATTTTAAATTTTGATCAGCTACTGGTCCTCTCACTGATTGAGAATGAGTTGGTTAGTAATTATTGACGCAACCTCCTATGATAACCTTAAGGCAGTATTAAGTGTTGGTTTTAAAAACTTTGGTGGTATTTGCGGTTTGTTTTTATTAACAGTTGCAACTGATAACATGCTGCAACTGTAGTCCTATAATACTTAAAAAGACAACTGGAATAGATAGAAACTAGTTGTTTATTGTAATATTTCGTTCCATATTCAATATTAAATTGCGAACCGTCTCCACAATATTATATGGTATATTACTAATTTTCCTTCCTTGTAAAAGCTGCTTTTCTACAACTTCTATATTGGATTCAAAATGTGATGTAGAATCCACCCATCGAAAAATTCTTTACCATATCGGTCCGGTTCTGCTGGAATGAATTATGTCGTACTATCATGACCTCTAAAACCAGCCATCATTTCATCCAGAGTAACGTAAGGATCCGGAGAATAGAACTGTAAGCATCTTTGATTGAACTCATCCCGAAGTTTTCTTATTGTACCAAGTCAATATTTTTCTCGTCTTTCAAGGTGTATGTTTCCTATATCAAACCTCAGAGCTCAAAGTGAAAGCTTGAAACCATTTTTTCTTATTGCAGCATTGAAGTAGTCGGATGACAGTCTATTAGATTTTGACAAATGTTGTATATTTGTGGTGCCTCAGCACTCACATTTATATTTTTTTGTATTTGTTTCGATATATTTATAATCGGGTATGATCGATACTGATCGACACTTGTCGTCGGTTCGATCACCCTACTAATTAGGACATGAATGAGGCTACACCCTAATTATCAGTCCGTAATAGCGAACACTGTATTATGTCATATTGCGCTTTACCCAGTACAGTGTACATAACAAAAAAGAGATCACCTGTATTACATGTACGAATCTTTTCATTTTATACAACCCGACCTTCCATGATCCGCTACATTTGGTGACCCCGACGTGATTTTTTCGGATTTTTATTAGTTACGCGAAACTACGAATTATTTTCCCGCGTAAAATTTTGACTACGTGCTTCGCGTCGAGTGAAGTGATTTTTTGTGCCGTAGTGACTATTTTTATTATCATTGGTGCATTCCTGAGCAACCAGAGACACTATGCTGTACCAATGTGCATTTAAGGGATACCATTGGTGCAAATAAAATCGTGATAAAAGTGCCTAAGTGCATATTAATTATTGTTTTTCGTGGTCAGTGTGCTAAAATTTTCGCGAACATTTTGAGTCAACAGGCTCGACGACGAGGGATTTCTTTTGTGCCGCGCTCATCGTAAACAACTTGTTTACACTTTTCCTATTTAGAATCTACTACAAGTAAGCAAATTTGTGTTTCTAACTCGATTTTGTGAGTTCTAGTGTTTTTCAACGATGTCCAAATCAAACAACGAATTTGTTGACGCCAAGCCTCTACCAACCGGAAATGTCCGAGCTCCCACGTTCAGTAGCGAACGACCTAGCTTATGGTTTGCCTAAATCGAATTCCTTTTTAGCACCAACAGAATAGTCACAAAGCTCAACAAATTCTACCATATTTTACCGCTCACTGATACTAAGTACGCGCTCGAGGTAGAGGTCATTACAACAAGCGTGCCTGTCCTCTCCCCTTACCAGACACTGAGAAACGCGTTGATGATGCCGATCACGACTCTTACAACACCTTACGGCACTTGTACCAGGCATCGACGAAGATGTTCCAAAATCAAGATGGATGTGCTGCCTTCCAGACTGACCAACTAATCGACCACCCGCTGAAATTCTTGACAAAGTCCACGAGGTATTTGATATGAGTCGAAAGTCGACCTCTGCAGTCGCAGCGACACCATCAACCTTGACAAATGATATCGCTAGTCAAATCGCCGCCCTAACGAAACAAATGGCGGGGTTGAAAAGAATGTTTTCCTCTAGCCGATGGCGAGACTTTTCACACAGCCGACCACGGGATCGATTCCGTAGTCGATCAAGATCCCGATGTATTCATAAACCTGGAGTTTGTTTCTACCATAACAAATTTGGTGAAGACGCTAAAAACTGCACCCCTGGCTACAAATACCAGAAAAACGACTAAGAGAATCACTAGCGGTGGAATGTGATTCTGAATCGATGACTCACCGCTTTTCCATGGAAAACAGCACATCCAAGACCCAGCTTTATATTGACACCGGCTCAAACATGTCTGTATTTCCAGACAAATAGAAAAAATCGTCACTTCAGCTGGTCGGATATCACCTACTAGCAGCAAACGAAACTGCTATACTACCCTACGTTGTAAAACACTGTCACTAAATCTTGATCTCAGGCGTGACTTCACATGAGGTTTAATCATTGCTGGAGTCACTCGACCTATAATTGGAGCTGACTTTTCAAGTCATTTTGACTTATTAGTCGACCGAAAAAAACAAATGCTTGATGGAATCACGACACTCTCTACACGTGGAAAAGTCATGACTTCAATTGAAGTTTCGATAAAATAGATTTCCAGGTCCACCTGTTGCCTGTAAAGCGAGAAAAATCGCACCTGACAAACTGAAAACGGCACGGTAAGAATTGCGTAAGATGATCTAACTTGGCCTTACACGACCCGAAAGGGCAACATGGTCATCACTACTACATTTTGCTTCCAAGGAAGCTGGTGAAAGGCGCCCGTGCGAAGATCACAGACCACTCAACGTCAGGACGATTCCTGATCGCTACCGA